TTCTTCTTCTTCTTCTTCTTCTTCTTCTTCTTCTTCTTCTTCTTCTTTTTTTCCTCCTCCTCCTCCTCTTCCTTCTTTTTCTTCTTCTTCTTCTTCTTCTTCTTCTTCTTCTTCTTCTTCTTCTTCTTTCCTCCTCCTCTTCCTTCTTCTTCTGCTTCTTCTTCCTCTCCATTTCCCTCTCCTCTTCCTCCTCCTCCTTCTCTTCCTCCTCCTCCTCCTCCTTCGTCTCCTTAGTCTTTTCCTTCTTTTCCTCCTCCTCCTCCTCCTCCTCTTCTTCTTCTTTTTTCCTCCTCTTCCTCCTCCTCCTTCTTCTGCTTCTCTTCTTCCTCTCCATTTCCCTCTCCTCTTCCTCCTCCTCCTTCTCTTCCTTCTCCTTCTTTTCCTCCTCCTCCTCCTCCTCCTCCTCCTCCTCCTCCTCTTCCTTCTCCTTCATCTCCCCCCGCCATCTGTCATTGGACATTGGCGATCATGTTGACCATCCTATTTTGATCAAACAGCCAGACGAAAAAGTGCTGTTGAGTTTTCTCCAAAATAGTCCCTTAGATTTGGAAGCCGGGATGTTCTTCTGCCTGGACCTCGTTTGCCTTCAATTTTTCCCTGAAGGATTAAAGCGAAAGGTGCCATATTTTTCCAGGTGTCACATCGCATGTCCAAAATACTCCAACTTCCACTTTTTAATGGTTTTTGATTATTCCCCTTGACTTTTCCAGACTTCTCCCCTCCTAGTTTCTGATTTTGTCAACCCATCTCATCCATAACAGCCGCCTATAAATCCACATTTCAAATGCTCGGAGGTCTCTTCCGCTGGCTTTCTGTCCAGGGACCAACTCTCCACTTCATAGTTTGACTGATTGAAAAGATGCGACATCTGACAAGCCTAGTTTTTCAATCTTAGGCTTATGTACAAAAAAAATCCCATTTATATAAATATCTTCACTGAAGGCTTTTTCAAGATTGGTGGCCATTGTGCTAAATTCCCAACCAATGCAATTTCTGTCCGTTTTTGTTGTTGTTGCATTGCAGCTAATTCTTAACTTACATCCATTTGTTTAGAAGGTTCGAAGTTATAACGGCACTGGGAGGGAAACGTGACTTATGACTGTTTTTCACACTTATGACCATTGTATCATCCCCATGGTCAAAATTCAAAATGATAACCTGGGCCAAAAAACTTTGGATATAGCATAAATTTGGAAGATTGGGAAAACCTATGGAAAATAATTTACAAATTAAGGACTTGAGTTTCATGTTTAATGAATCATAGAATAATAATAATATCCTTTTTTTTTTATTACAAGTAGCCCCCTACTTACGACCACAATTGAGCCCCCAAAATTACATTGCTAAGTGAGAAATTCATTAAGCGGGCTTCACCCTCTTTTACGACCTTTCTTGCGACGGTTGTTAAGCGAATCAGTGCGGCTGTTTGATTCGTAACCCGGTTGTTAAGTGAATCTTTTGACTTTGCATGTCACAAGCATGGAACAGCTGCCAAGCCTCTGAATTTTGATCACATGATCACGGGGGTACTGGAAAGGTCGTAACCGAAAAACCGGTCATAAGTCCCTTTTTTTTCAGCGCCGTTGTAACTCTGAACAGTCACTAAATGAACTGTTGTAAGTCGAGGACTAACTGGAGAGACTTAAGTAATTTTTCCCCCCCTCTTTTCTTCATTGTGGTCTCAGGGCCACGAGTAACCACAAAGTCAAAGAGACGGTTGCTTTGGAACTCAGCTACGTCAACTCCAACTTGCAGCTACTAAAGGAGGAACTGGAAGAGTTGAACAGTTGCATGGAAGTCTACCAGAATGACAGGTGAGGTGGTGATTGGCAGCTGTCAGTTTGGAGCAGGGAAGCTCCTGGAGGTGGACTTCATGGGTTGGGAAAATTAAGTTGTCCCTTGCCACCAATTCCCACCTCCTCTGCCTTTTCACCGGGGTTCTTGGACCTTCTCAAGTCATCCTCGACTTAACGACCATAATGGAGCCTGCTGCCCAGTATGGTTGTAAAGCGGGTCACCCATGTGACTAACCTGATTTGTCAACCTTTTATGTGATGGTTGTTAATAAACACCACAGTTATTAAGCAAAGCAATGGGGCACTTTTGCTGAAAACCGAAAACGCCCATTTGGGGCAAAGATATCTTAAAACAAGGTCATGTCACTGCAGGATACCACAAGTAGGAATGACACAACTTGCCACAGCCAACGTACTGTGGCCAACTTACCACAGCCAACTCACCACGGCCAATTCACCATGGCCAACTCACCACAGCCAACTCACCACGGCCAATTCACCACGGCAAATTCATTACAGCCAACTTGTCACAGCCAACTCACGGCCAACTCATTACAGCCAACTCAACTCACCACGGTCAACTTGCGACAGCCACACATTATGACCAACTCGCCAGGGCCAACACATTATGGCCAATTCAACTCACCATGACCAACTCACCACGGCCAACTCATTACAGCCAACTCAACTCATCACGGCCAACTTGCCACGGCCACGCATTATGGCCAACTCATTACAGCCAACTCACCACGGCCACGCATTAGGGCCAGCTCACCACGGCCGACTCATTACGGCCAACTCTCCAAGGCCAACTCACCACAGCCAACTCAGCATGGCCAAAGCTCACTTAACGAGCATCTCGCTTAACAACCCAAAACATGAGCCTTGATTTTGGGGTCATAAGTCGAGGACGGGTGGTGTCTTTCTTCTTCCTGAGAACTAAATGAAATAAGCTTCGGAAAACTTGGTTTTTTGAAGCGAAGAAAACTGGAATCCTCCCCAGCAGATCTGCTGACTTTCAAAATCCCCCAGCCAATTTTACAAGTTGACTCACACAGTGACGAAGATCCGACGGGGGTTGAGAACATGTTCCATAGCAAACAAACATGATCACTAAATGAACTCGAGGATTACTTGTAATTTGAGGATTACCTGTAATTGGACCTGTGGCCCCTCCGAAATCTGCTCTCATTCTTCTCACCGCCTCTCTTCTCTCTCTCTCTCTTTCTCTCTCCCTCTTTCTCCCTTTCTCTCTCTCTTTTTCTATTCTCTCTCCTCTCTCTTTCCCCTTCTCTCCTTTCTCTCTCTCTTTTCTCTCTCTCCTTCCCCTCTCTCTTCTCTCTTTCTCTCTTCCCTTTCCCCCTCTCTTTCTCTCTCCCTCCCTCTCTTTCTTCCTCTCTTTTTCTCTCCTGTCTCTTTTTCCTCTCTCTCTCTTTCTCTCTCCCTCTTATTTTTCTCTTCTCTCTTTCTCCTCTCTTTCTCTCTCCCCCTCTCTCTCTCCCCGTCTCTCTTTTTCTCTCTCTCCTCTCTCATTTTTCTCTTTCTCACTTTGTCTCTTCCCCCCTCTTTTTCTCTCTCTCTCCCTCTCTCTTTTCTCTCTCTCTCCCACGCTCTCTCTCATTCTCCTTCCCTCCTTCTCTTTCTCATCTCTCTCTCTCTCACTCTGCCTCACTCTCTCTCTCTCTTTCTGTTTCTCAGTGACTCCATTAGCGTCCCGATGATCCCCCTGGGTTTGAAGGAGACCAAAGAACTGGACTGGGCAGCTCCCCTGAAGGTAAGGAGATCTCGTAGATGGTGCGGTGATCCAGTCTCCAGCCTTTGAAGGGAGGCAAAGAGGTGGGTGCGAAACAGCCCTTAAATCTGGTGGGCTTCTCGTTAATTCCTAATTTCCTAAAACAGAGTTTCTCTTGGGGAAGTGGGGTTGGTGGTGAAACTCTCTGGTTACAGGGGAAAGAATTGAAGAAACCTGTTGACAAGTAGTCCTCGACTTACAACAGTCCATTTAGTGACCGTTCGAACCGACGACAGCACTGAAAAAAAGTGACTTAAGGGCCGTTTTTCACACAACGGTGGCAAGAATGCCCACGGTCACGTGGTCAAAATTGTGTCCGGGGGTGTGTGTGTCTCATGAGCCCCTTTTGTGACCGGCAAAGCCCATGGGGAAGGCAGATTCACCTAACAACCGTGTGACTAACTTAACGACGGCCATGATTCACTTCCCAACAGCCACAAGAATGGTTGTAGAAATGGGACAAAACACATTTTAACTAAGGTCTCACGGAACAACGGACAACTCCGTTCTGGTCGTAAGTCGAGGGCTTGATTTCGCAGTGGTTTTGAAAGCGGGAAGTTCAGGCAAATTGGTTAAGAACAACCACAAACAACAACAAGTGTGTTTTCATTTCGTGTGCAACTCCAGGCCGTCATTAAAGAACACTACCAGGAAGACGAAGACTCCTACAAGGCGGAGCTGGAAGCCCTTGTGGATTTGCGCCAGGTGTGTGATCTGGGTGTGTGTTGTGTGTGTAGTGGGGGAGGTAAGTTTGGAAGACAGCCGGTGTAGCAATCAACTCCAAGCCTTACTCCCAAGTCACTCCTTTTGTCTCAATTGTTCTTGCCTCCTGGCAGCTCTGCGCATGCGCGCACTGGGAACAGGCTCCCTCTGCTCCTCTGCCTCGCTGATGTCATATTCTGGAGGCTCTGGAGTCTGCACTAACTCCCGGATGGCCCTGGCCCCATCTCTTTATCGGACGCAGGACCATTGTCCGAGTCCTCCCCAGACTCTCGGACTGGCCCAGGTTCTTCCCCACTGTCCTACTCTACTGCCATCCTCAGGCTGCCGGCAGACCACAACAGGGGGTTAGACTAGACCACCTCCGAGGCACCTTCCAATGTCTGTATCCCCATTATCAGAATCGTCAAACAAATGGCAAATTCAAATTTCAACAAATAAATGCTCTGTCCTACATATTGGCAGAATAAATCAGAAAATAAAAAACAAGCTAAATAGTCAAGACCTTGTTGAGGAGCCAAACTCTGTCAAGGACCTTGGAGCACTCATCTCAAATGATCTAAGTGCTAGAGCCCACTGCAACTACATAGCCAAAAAGGCATTAAGAATTGTTACCTAATCTTACGTAGCTTTTTCTCTGGTAATATTACATTAATAATTAGAGCATACAAAACATTTGCTAGACCAATACTCGAATACAGCTCATCAGTCTGGAACTCACATTATGTAACTGATATTAGCACAGTTGAGAAAGTCCAGAAATATTTCACAAGAAGAGTTCTCCACTCCTCTACTCGTTGCAGAATACCTTATGCCACCAGACTTGAAATTCTAGATCTAGAAAACCTTGAATTATGCCGTCTTGGGTCTCATCTAAATATGGTATATAAAATCATACATTGCAATGACTTACCTGTCAATGAATACTTCAGCTTCAAGCATAACAACACAAGAGCACACAACAGATACAAACTCAAGGTTAACCGCACCAAGCTTGATGGCAGGAAATACGACTTCAGCAACAGAGTGGTCAAAGTCTGGAATACTCCACTTGACTCTGTGGTTTCTTCCCCAAACCCCCAAAACTTTAACCTTAGACCTTCTACTATTGACCTCACCCCTTTCCTAAGAGGTCTGTAGGGGGCGTGCATAAGCGCACCGATGTGCCTATCGTCCCTGTCCTATTGTTCTTTTTATTTTTCTTATTTTTCTTATACGTATCCATGTATTCATAACTTATGTTTTTACTTATACCTATTATCTTGTAAGCAATTGACATATATTAATTAATTAATTAACAACAATTAACCGGAAGAACTAACTTGCCTCCAGAAGTTGGAAATGCTCCAACACTGGAAAGTTTTAATAAGAAGAGATTGGACCCAACCATTTGTCCGGAATAAGACAGGATCTCCTGCTTGAGCAGGGGGGGTTGGACTAGATGACCTCCAAAGGCCCCGCCCAACCCTGTTACTCTGTTATTCATGGCTCTTTTTGCCTCTCTCCCCGTCTTGTGTCCCCAACAGGCCATGCGGGCACCCAGCCGGAACAAGGCGGGCCTTGAACTCCTGATGGAATATTACAGCCAGCTCTACTTCCTCGACAATCGATTCTTCTCGCCCCATCAGAACCTGGGACTTTTTTTCCACTGGTCAGTGGGGGGTGGGGGGGGGGGGGGGAGGGGTTCGGCGTTGCACAGAGGGAATCCAGAGAGGAGAATCTTGGGAGCTCGGGGTTTGAAATGAGGGGTCCTTGGCACACTCTGAGATTGGTGGGTTTCTTGCAGACGTTCCGTGACCCAATTAGGGAACATCATCAGTAGTAGAAGGGAGAGGGTGTTTACACCTTCCAGCACTGATGCTGTTACCTAGTTGGGTCAGGAAATGTCTGCAAGAAAACCTCAAAACTCAGAAAGAGCAAGGACCCTTTACTTCTCCTCCTCCTCCTCCTCCTCCTCCTCCTCCTCCTCCTCCTCCTCCTCCTCCTCCTCCTCCTCCTCCTCCTCTTCTCCACAAACTCTATTCCCTTCTATCACTGATGCTGTTACCTAGTTGGGTCATGAAATGTCTGCAAGAAAACAACATAGCTCAGAGAGCACCAAGGACCCCACATCCGTTCTCCTCCTCCTCCTTCCTCCTGCTCCCTCTCTTGTAACACTGATGATGTTACTTAGTTGGATAATGAAATGCCTGGAACTATTTTTATTTGAGATAATAGCAAGGGAAAACAATAAAAGACTCACATATTTAATCGTACATATAACAACTGCAGCTAGAATCTTATACCCACAAAATTGGAAAAGTGCAAGGACACCTACAGGAGGAGGAAGTAATAAATACTAGGAGTGCACTGAAATGGACAGACTTACAATGGAACTTAAAGATAAAGAGGCGTCAAGGGTGCTACTTCACATGAGACATATTGTATAATTGGATAAATAACAGAAGCAGGGTTTAGTGTTAAATAAGGAACGAATACCAACAGAACACATATATGTAGAGGATAGAAGAAGATGTAAGAATAAACAATGTAAAAAAGTAAATTTTTGAACTGTACAAGGATATAATATGAACTGCACAAAGTGAGGATTCTAATAATAATAATACATAATGGAAGAAATAACAGGGACAATTTGGATGTATAATGTGATGGAGAGATTATACTACATGATACTAGGATGCATAACATGATGGGAAGGAGAGGAAAGGGATTTGATGCAACCAGTTCACAACGATGTTTAATTATGAACAGTTACATATTAAGGAAAAATGTACGGTACAATAAAATTTAATAAAGAAGAAATATCTGCAAGAAAACCACCAGCTCAGAGAGCACCAAAGACCCCACAGTCCTTTTCTTCCTCCTCCTCCTCTTCCTCTCCTCACACCCCACTCCCTCTAGCACTGATGATGTTACCTAGTTGGGTCACGAAACGCCTGCAAGAAAACCACCCAGTTCAAAGAACGCCTTCCTTCTTCTTCTTCTTCTTCCTCCTCCTCCTCCTCCTCCTCCTCCTCCGTCTCACTGCTCGGCTCTTCTTCCCAGGTACGATTCGCTGACGGGCGTGCCTTCTCACCAGCGGGCCCTGGCTTTTGAGAAAGGAAGCGTGCTTTTCAACATCGGGGCCTTGCACACCCAAATCGGGGCGCGCCAGGACCGTACCACTTTGCAGGGGGTGGACTGCGCCATTGAAGCCTTCCAAAGGGCATCGGGTACGTTGACTTGGGCAAGCCTTCTTAGGGTTTCCAATTGGGGCACGAAGTAGTAGATGGTGTTGAGGTGGGCTTCGTACCACACGTTACTCCATACCAAGACTAGCATTTACAGGCAGGGGTGGGATTCAAAAATCCCAGTAACCAGTTCGCTGCCTGGTTGCTGGGGGTGGGTGGCCATGGTGAGCATGGCTTACCGGAACTTCCGGGAGGGCCGTTTTTCACCTTCCTTAGAATCCGGAGGCTTCCCTCGGGCCTCTGGGAGAGCTGAAATGGCCTCCCCCGGGCTCTGGAGGCCCTCCAGAA